CCCCACAGGTATGGGAGAGCGTGATGGTCACATGGAAGCAGCACTGTTACCTTGGTGATGAGCTTTGTGTCGGCCAGCTCGGAGAGTTCCGTCAGCGCCACCGGTGACTTTCCCAAAATCTCCGACACTTTGTCGAGCCTCTCGTCATCCTGGTCGTCAGCGATGGCCACCACAACATTTGTGTCCGAGTCAGCGGCGCCGAACGACTGAAACGACTCCGAGATCTGGTGTGCGGGATTGGGGTGGGGAAGGGTAGTTTTAGTAATTTTAATAGAGGTTCAGTTAGTTTCGTAAGAATTTTACGGCACTTGCCACACAATTAAGTCATATAAGTGCCGAAAAATAGATGAGTTACAAGAGAGTAATATACACAAAAAAGAAGGAGAGATATAAGGATGATAAATGTTTGATAGGAAAGAAGAAACAAACCACACCAGAGCACCCGCCAACCAACCACTTTTAGTAGAGGTTTTTTTATTTTTAAAATTTTATTAAATATTATAGTAGAGCGTTTTACGGCGCTCGCAACTGCATAAGATCATATGAGCGCCAAGGGGTGGATGTCAACAGAGAAGTCTTTACAGAGAATCAGGATTATTCTGTTCACCTCTCTAGCTTCAACAGCACAAAGTCTGCTTCGACTATCAAGGCACCCCGGAAATAAAGGGTCACAAGAGTGTGACAAAACAAAAGAAGTAGAGGTAAATGACGATAGTAAGGATTAGGATAGAAAAAGCAGCAGTTCCCTGTTGCAGTTCAGCACAGTTGTTGCTGTTGTTGTTGTTGTTAGCAATCCAGTAGCATCTGAGAGTTAACTCTTCTGCATGATCATGATGTCATTCTGTAATAGCTGCATGTCTGTTCTAATTGTTGTCTTGAGGAGTAGAGGCAGTCAGATGTGTGGGGAAGCTTGGGAAGAAAACATCCTCTCAAATCGGTTAGTTTTGATGTTTGCTAGAGAAGAAAAAATGATGTTCCACTATCTCTGAGGGGTAGTCACATAGTGGGCAGGCAGCAGACTGCTTTACTCCAATTCGGTTGAGATGTTGATTGAGGAGATAATGTTGTGTTCTAAGTTGGAAGATTATGTATCTTAAGATATCTTTATTACAGATGTATAAAAAAACACACATATGGTCATAGACATGAACATAGACAGAAGTCTTAAGAGAAATACATTTCTTACCGTGCTGTCGCTCCATGTTTTTCACTCCGCCTTTCATAGACAAGAACATAACAAGACAAACTGAATCACTATGACCAGAGACAAGGCCATTCAAGATGGTAATGAACTTCAGCTACAGTTTTAGTTTCAGTTTTAGTAGAGGTTTTACGGCGTTCGTAACTGCATAAGGTCATATGAGCGCCAGAAGATTAGAGGTGTTACAAGAGAGTAACAAACATAAAAAAGAAGAAGGGGAGATAAGGACGATAGATGTTTTTTGTTTTTGTTTTAGTAAGAGTTTTACGGCACTTGCAACACAAATAGATAAGTGCCGAAGATTAGAAGTGTTACAAGAGAGTAACAAACATAAAAAAGAAGGAGTAGAGATGAAGATGATAGTTGTTTCATAGGAAAGCAGGAGCAAACCACACCAGAGCACCCGCCAACCGCCCACAGTTACAGTTTGTTTAATAATTCCAAAACATTTACACAAAAGAAACAGAGACAGAGACTTTTAAATACTACAAGACTTACATTTTTACTTGGGGAGAGGCAGAATAAAATTTCCGAGTGGACATTTTTTGTCATCATAGTGCCAGCGTGCTGCAGGTGCAGAGCTTTGTTGGCAGCGACCAGGACTTGAAACTCATCAATCACCTGAAACGTTGAATCAAACAGCATAAAAATAAAAACACAGTTCCAGAGTACTTCTAAACAAGTTTTAGATTTTGGGTAGAAAGACCCCCTCTCTTTCTTATTAACCCTATCCGTATAGAATTTTTCTGTCCAATAGTCACTTCGTTCTTGGATTGCGAAGAGCAGCGCGAGTAAGGTTTGTAAGAGAATATAGTTTTTTTTCAGGAATGTTTTTTAAAATCTTTCTTCTCTTTTAAAACCTTAGAAATGTTCCCAAAGGGGGTTATATTTAGGTTGATTAGCGGTGATTTTAATGGTAAAATTCGTTTATAATATGGCCACCTCTATTCTCACCCGGGGTGAGAATAGTGCAGGTGGGTCTTGTGGCTATTCTCACCCGGTGCTCGTGTCAACAAATTTTGCGTTCACCCTAAACCACAGAATTCTACACTGTGATAAGAGAAAAATTGTAGAATTCTATGCTGTGAACAAACGTTCCATTACAACTGTACTTGTAGCCTACTAAAAGCGTACAATTTTGTCTGTGGGCAGTGGAGAGAGAGAGAGTGAGAGAGAGAAAGAGAGAGAACAAAACAAAATGGCGACCCGCGTAGTTCGGCTCGATTCGAAAAGTTAAATAGCCGTAGCATCTTTGTAGACAACCAAATTAATTTACTTTTGTGTTTTAACATCATTTTTTAACTTTGTTTTGGTCAATTTGATCGTCCACACCGATAGACAGTATTCAGAAAGAGACAGAGAGAGAGAGAAGAGGGGAGGAGTAGATCTTGCGAGAACTTCCGGGCGGGTGAGAATAGCCACTTTCTTATAATATATCTAGATTCTAGATCCATATCACAACAAAAACATCAGAAAATCAGAAATAAGGCCTACTATGCCTCTTTACTTTAAGGCTCTTACTCTTACTCATCTTACTGACTTAGACTTAGATTAGAAGTCTATCTTTGCGAGATGGGTCCTTATATTGCAAAATTACTCAATAGAGCCTAGATCTATTACCATGGACGTTTTGAGGAGAGAAACTTCGATTGCTCCAGACATAACACTTTTCCGCAACTCTTTACACGATACATTTCGGTAGAGCGCTACAGTAATTGTTTTGTCTGGGTACAAAGTATGGGGAACTTTGATGTAGGCTGCCATGTTGTTTGAAACATGGGGAGGTCCTGCTATTTTTAATCAAGATTGGGATTAAAAGTTGCTTTGGTTAAATTGTTATTATTTTTTCAAAATTTTCAAGTCTTAATTTTTTTATTTCTTGGACATTTTATTTGATGAATTTATTGAATATGTTAGTTATGACATCAGAAAAATGAGTTGAGTGCCATGTTAAAGTGTGAGGATGGGCTTTCAGTAGCAGTTGAGGCAGGGGAGGTCTTTGTTTGTTGTTGAGTGACAAAAAAAATCTTGACTTCTATTATCATCTTATTAAAGGTAGTTCAAACAGAGAGCCTTTTGTAGATTAGGTGTATTTTATTTTTTCAATCCCGGAAAACTTATTTGTTTAATAAGTATAATGACTATAATATTGTTACCATCACTGTGTACACTTTAACGGCAATCGGAACATTCTTGTAGGTGACCGATTGAATTTAGGAGCTTATTCAAGCTGCTTGATTTCGGAACAGATTTGAGAAGGGGAACTACTCTTAATTTTAAAACAATCAATCATTAATATTATTGTTATTGATGGTGATAAAGAGGTGAGGTGATATAAGTGAACTTTGGCCAGTGCTACACCAAAGCCTAATGAACTCTTGGCTAATTATTGTTTAGATCTAAATCGAATGAGTATATTTATCTTTGGTCAGCCGACCAAGGGATAACTTCAACTCTTTTTTAAGTTACCTGGGTTTGTAAAATAAAAAAACCGTATGAAATGTTAGTTTAATTAAAGTTAAAGACAAATTTATTACAAACAATGACAATGATTGAACAATGCTATTAGTCTAACTGTCAATCTTAATTCATCTTATTGACTCAGGTCAGGTATTATGTAGATTTTTTTCAGGTAGGCTAGATTACTATCATTTTCATTTTAATGCTCACTTTTAGGACCAGGTATTGTATAATAGTAGCCTAGATTTAGATTATTATATAATCTATGTGCACTTTTTTTTCATTTTCATCCGTTTTATAAGATGAATTGAGATACCAAGCATTAGCCTACAATAGCAATGATGTGTGTTTTCATTTTCCTTTCTGCCTTTCAGAAAATAAAGGGAGAAAATCAAACATGCCTCCTTCTTTGAAGCCAAAAGCAACAGGCGGGCTCTCTGACTCGCTGAGAACATTATCTGGTGCGGAACCAAACAACACGAGCGATGGATCAGTCCTGGAGTTGCTACCGGACTTCCCCCCAGGCCCACTGGATGCGTACAGGAAGAAGGCTTCGTTTGATTGGAAGAAAATGGCACTTTTCCTCGATACGGAGGACATTTTGAGATTTAAGGTAGGTAGATATTACAGGGGTTCTCGTGTCCCAGAGGTTAAAGTGTTTGCCTCTCATTCAAAGGTCCCGGGTTTGAATCCTGGTAGTGATGGAAACATTTTCTTCTCTTAAATTGTCTCTTTTCACCTCCTTTCCTGATCTCTAGCAATGTTCTGTGATCTGCTTTCGTCTCCACTTTCTGCCCCCACCACCTCATCTGCCCCCTCCTCTGGGCTCCTGACTCTTTCTGCAGCTTTTCTACTGCTACTTCTTGGCTCCTTCTTACTGTTGTCTTTCAGCCACACCCCTCATCTCCTGGTAGGAAAGATCTACACTTAGCCTTCTTACACATTATATGGCCAAAAATCACGGAGTTCCCGCGTGCAAGTTGCGCTCGTTAAAGATCCCTTGGTGGTGTAAAATCGATTTGAGTAGGCTTCGGCCGCCACCCGCGCAGAATTCAAAACTACTAACTGAAAATGCTTAATGTGTCCCGCGCACTCAGGCTCATATGACCTTATGCAGAATTGCGAGCGCCGTAAAGCACTTTACCAATTTAAACAAAATATATACACAGACTGTTTTGTCTGGAATGTCAGTGAGAGTGACACTTTTGTTTTTACAGAGATGGTGTGTATCTGGTTTGGTAAGTGACAGTGGCTTTTGTGTTGGTCAGTAAGTGTGTGGGTGTGTGTATAGTGTATGAGTTTGTGTGTGTGTGTATGTGTTTGTGTGCGTGTGTGTGTGTATGTGTTTCTTGTGTGTGTGTATGTGTGTGGGTGTGTGTGTATATCGTGTGTGTATTATGTGTGTTTACAAAGAGAGTTTCAACAGTTTGTTACATAGGTAGAGATGGAGAAAGAAATGATCTGATATTCAAAAACTTTAAGATGGGAGTGGTGTAAAATGTTACTGCAGCAACAAAACAGGAATTAAGAGGCCTGATCAGCTACTGAAAGTACTCTTGTTTCTGTATTTAGCAAGACTTATATTTGTATAAATGCCTGTAGTTCATGCCTGGTATTCTAACTTCCACCTTCTAGGTACCACTTATCAATGTGGATTCCGATATTATAATAATATAGTGTAAATGTTTGAGTTAAGCTGTGTGCGTGGGTGGTTGGCGGGTGCTCTGGTGTGGTTTGCTTCTTCTTTCCTATCAAACATCTATCGTCCTTATCTTCCCTTCTTCTTTGTTACTCTCTTGTAACACCTCTAATCATTAGGCGCTCATATGACCTTATGCAGTTGCGAGCGCCGTAAAACCTCTGCTAAAACTAAAACATTTAAAGCTGTGTGCCCAAGCTGGCAAGGATCAATTTGGCACTAGCCTGTTAACTTGTGACCTGAACATGCGACGTGTGGGTGGTTGGCAGGTGCTCTGGTGTGGTTTGCTCCTTCTTTCCTATCAAACATCTATCGTCCTGATCTCTCCTTTTTTTATGTTTGTTACTCCCTCGTAACACCTCTAATCTTCGGCACTTATGTGACCTTATTGCGTTGCCAGTGCCGTAAAACTCTCACGAACATGAGACGTTGCTGGCTTCAAGGTGCTTGATGAAGGTGCTCTTGCTTTTTCTGTTTTCAGAACAGAATCTTCAAAACCCTGGAGAACGACCCAGTTTTTTCCAAGGGCCTAACGACCCCACCGCTGGAGAACCAACGCGAGCTCACCTTCCGTCGCACGCATCACGTGCTGGGCTACGACTTCCTGACTGACGATGAGCTCTACGGAAACCCGCTCAAGTTCAAAGCTTACACAGAGGCCTTGGGCATGTATGATTGGACGGTGTCGGCGAAGATCAACCTCAATACAGAGGTGAGACAATTATGATGCATGCCTTGCTTTACTTGTAAAGCGTGCTGACAAAATGAGTTACTTCTCAGATTTTATCCTTATGGAAATAGATAGATACATCAGGCTTATAGGTGAAGTTTTTACAATTTATAAGTCATCAATGATTTATTTAAAGAGGCATCAGCCATCCATGTCCAGGTGCTGTTTTAGCCTCACAATTTATAAGTATGAAATAAGAAAAGGCATTTTGTACTTTAAGATTGCGGCATCAATAGAAAAATCTACAAATTTCACCCTAGTGTCGATTTTTGGCCAATATCTCCATTTGTGGATTGTGAGAAGTAACTCATTTTGTCAGCTCGCCTCACATTTGTTCGCTTTTAAGCACAAGGGGGCTATCCCGATTATAAATGCTGTTTTGAGAAAATCGAAGTTAAAGTTTTTGGATCCTTATTCAGTCTCATTAAAAGACAAGGAGAGTTTTTTTTCTATGACCAAACAAATGTACACGCCAGTGAAACCAAACTTCCCTTATAGGTAGGGGAATGCCCACTTTTGGTGCAGGTCAAGATTTCTGAAAACCCCTGGGTTAGCCCACTTGTCCCTAAAAAGGACCATTTTATGTATGTGTGTGTGTTCTCTGCGTCAGCACAGAGTTACGGCTAGCTCAGTGCGTTAAGTTGTGTTTACTTTTTAGATTTTTTGTCACTACGCTAGCAGAATGGGCTGACAGTGTTCTGTATCAAGATTTGGTTCTCTGACTCTGGGTTTACACTAGAACTGGGTGGTTGGCGGTTGCCCTGGTGTGGTTTGCTCCTTCTTTCTTATCAAACAACTATTGTCTTTACCTTTCCTCCTTCTATTTTACAAAAATTAGTACACTAGAAATTTTCCGAGAGGCCACCCATTGTCGGGGAAAAGGTGGTTGTCTTTTACAGTGTCATTGTAATATGTGAGGCAGCGTGGTGGAATCAGGCGCTCTTCAATTTTTGAGTATTTGGACCTATTGGTATCATCTGAAAGCTGTTTCATTTGCCTTGCTCCTAATGAAATACATCTATAGATCTTCAGTAGAAGTCAAAATATTTTTGATTTAAGGAAATGAGGTTGCCTGGTTTCAGTGGTGAAATTAGCGAGAATATCGCCGCCAAAGTTTGGTAAAGAGCTCTTCAAAACTGAAAAATGACATATTTTGTGCCTTTAATCAATGTTTTTCAGTAAAATTCACATGGAAATGTGTTTTTATATGGACATTGAAGGGGTTGAACCAAAAAATAAAAATTCGATACAATCTTCCTAACTGGCGAAAAAATGCCTTTTTGTCCGATTTCATTATTTTGACGAGCGCCGGATTCCACCAAGTCATGACACATATTTTTACATGCGAGGTGGGGAGTGGGAGATGGTCGTTTGTACCGGTGGTTGTCTTGGACAGGTGGTCATTAGAGCATTGTATTTCCCTCTATTCAGACAGACTTGTTCTGTCAAGATGGGTACCACTGTATCAAGAACACCAGTCATTTCGTCACACGGTCATTTCGTCGCATCAGTGCTGTCAAGACGTCACAGTTATCTCGTACGCCCCAAATCCACAAGGTTGAATTGAGACTGTCATTTCATAGCACACAACAAAGTTTTTAGGTATTACTGTTGATGAAAGGTGTGATTGGCAAGATCATATTAGTTCTTTTCAAAATAAATTAGCTAATAGAAATGTGCAGTACTGCAATTTTGCTAAAAGCTAATATATCTATAGACTATATATTAATATATCTATATTGTAGACCCTTACTTTCAAATAAAAGCCTTACTAAGTCTTTACCAGACATTGTTTTTTGCCTTTTATTTAAACTATTATTCAAATATGGAACAGTTTGGACGAAGATTTAATTTACATTAATAATTTATATAACTTCAAAAAAAGCTTTAGGCTGATCCTCCAAAACTCTAATAGCATAACAATTTTGGAGAGATATAATATAAGCGAAGTCATTTCGTCACACATAATTGGGGTGTGACGAGATGACCGTATGACGGAATGACCGGTTTCCTGTATCAAGACCACCCCAAGACCGCTTGTTGTGAGCTGATGTGTAACACGTAGGTCCTTTCTCAGTGATGTGGTCGGTTGTTGACCTTTTAGTCTTGTCAGGGTCAAGTATCATGTATCTCCTTCTTGTCAAACACTCCTCTCTCTCTTTCACTCTCTCTCTCTCTCTCTCTCCCCTCTCTCTCTCTCTCTCTCCCCCCCCCTCTCTCTTTTTCTCTCTCTCC